ACATTAAATGCAAAATGTATATTTAAATAAAAGAAGAAGAAAAAAGAAAGAGCAAAGGGATGTAGAAAATGAAGAATAACCATTGATATCTAAGGGCCAAACATATTCCACCTAAATTATCTAAATAGCTTCAAATCAAAACTTTCCATTTTTTCAAAGTGTATAGACCATCGTAGTTTGTACTCAAGTAAAGTATTACATTAAAGCATGTGCCTATTACAAATCATATACAGTTGACCCTTGAACCACACAGAGGTTGGGAGCACTGACCCCCTGCACAGTGAAAAATCCACATATAACTTTTGACTCCCCAAAAAGTTAGCCACTAAGAGCCCGCGGGTGACCAGAATCTTTACCAATAACATAAATAGTCAATTAACACATTTTGTATTACTAATAATGTAGTCAATTAACACATTTTGTATTACTAATAATGTAGTCAATTAACACATTTTGTATTACTAATAATATAGTCAATTAACATATTTTATATGCATGATGTACTGTATTATGACAATAAAATAGAGAAAAGAAAATATTAAGAAAATCATGAGGAAGAGAAATGTATTTACTATTAATCAAGTGGAAGTGAACCATCATAAATGTCTTCATCCTTTATTGTTGTTTTCATATTGAATAGGCTGAGAAGGAGAAAGATGGGATTTGGATTTGCTTTCTCAGGGGTTGTAGAGGTGGAGGACCCATATATAAGTGGAACAGTGCACAGTTCAAACTCAAATTGTTTAAGGGTCAACTGTAATAATATTTGCTATTAAGGGTAAAATGAAATATTTCTACCCTCAGTAATTTGTTTGATCAGGATGCCCAAAGCAATCACAGTCAAGACATAACCATCCTTGGGTTACAGTGATAAGCATTATTTACCCTCCAGAGTTGGAGAAGCTCAAGGCTGGTGAAGCTCAAGATCCCATGTTAACTAAATAAAATCAAGATTCTGGCAGAGAGGAGGAAAAAGTCAATGTTTATCAGGTAGACAATTAATAATGTTCCCTCAGAAAAGCAAAATTAGGAGACAATTATGTTGAGTTTTTTTTTTTAATTCATTGAGACAGTATATAGGAATTTTAGGAACATCTGTTTGGCACTAGATGTGGCTTTGGCTTTCAATCACCCATATAACCATAATATAGCCTGATTTTTTTTCAACTATGCATTTTCTTTGCACTTTTTCTTTATTGAATGTTAAGTAATAGATTTTTAAATGTTTTTTCTTTAACCACACCAATCTTCTGATCACATAACATAGTGAAATATGTATTCCTTTCTGATATTTATCAGCTATTTTCCTTTGCAGAGTAATTTATATTTAAAACTCTTAGAAGTTATATTTTTAAAATGTTAATATCTTAACAAGAACTGATTTTATGTAGATGTTATTATTGAGTACATTTACTTAAACAGAAACAAAGAGCGATATTAACAAAATGGTAGAGTTGGCAGGTTCATGAACTCATTCCTTTAGAGAAATATCAAGAAATAAATAGAAACTGTTAGAATCAACTTTGTCAGGACTCTGAAAAAAAGTCAAAATTTTAGAGCAACTAAGCAAATGTTAAGTCAAGAAAAAGGCAACTTTGAAACAACAATGAAGTTTGTGATGGTTTTACCTGCCTTCCCCCTACCTCCTCCTGGATGCAGCAATGCTTTTTTGTATTGAGGCAGTGGTAGGCAGTCTACATTCATAGCTTGGGCCCTTGGTCCCTAGTTCCAGAGGAAGCAGAGACGACCTTCTTCACAAATGGTTATGTATGTCTGTTTTAATCTGTCTAAGACATTCCTTGAAGGACTGATGCAAAGAATTCATCTCTGTTTCACTTAATTTTGAATTCAGTTTGCTAAAGTAGTGACCATTGTTAAAAAACACTGTAAGCCGAAGTCACAACCCTCAAATGTGTGGGTCACAACATTATAGTTGAAACATGAAATAGAGAGCATAAGGCTTGGTAGCAAAAGCTGAAGAGAGTTTCTTTGGGAAATTAGGTTGTTTAAAAAGAAAATGAATGCAGGGAAATTTAGAAAGTCCCCTGCATGCCCAGGGCAAAACACATGCCTTGAAAAGAACCTAAGGTTTCACTTTGGGCTGATCTCCAGGCTTAGTGCAAATCTGGCTAAATGTTGAAGGCGTGCCCAGGTTCAGAAACAATCTGCAATACTGAGGGAGATGGATTGTTGTTGGTTGTGTTTGTTTGTTGCAGATTTTGTATTTTATTTTTGTTTTTAGTGCTTGGCATTCAAAAACACTAGTTTAACACAAAGTAAGGAACACAGAGTTCAGTGATCCTCAACAATAAAGAACACAGTCTTGGTAAAAATAATTCAGGATAGTCACAAAACAAAAATAAGCAAAAGGAATTAAAAGAATAGTCACTGAGGAAGTACAGATGTTGTACCTACTTGACAAAGGCATTAAAACAATTGTCTTAAATATTCTTTAAAAAGTAATGGACAATTAAAGGAAATAAGAAAAACAATGTAGTAGCCATATTGGAATATCAATAAAGAGACACAAATTACAAAAAGTAGAGCCAAACAGAAACAGCATCTGAAAGTACAATTACCAAAATGAAAATGTTATTAGAGGGCTTTAACAGCAGATTTCAACAAGCAAGAGAATCAGTTCATCTGAAAATAGGACAATTAAATTGAGTCTGAGAAACAGAGAGAAAAAAATAATGAAGAAAAGTAAAATGAGCTTAAGGGACATGTGGAACACCATCAAGTGGGCCAAAATATGCATTATGAGAGTCCCAGAGATAGAGAGAAAGTAGAAGAAAGAATATGTAAATAAATACCAAACAAAACTTCCCAAATTTGATGGTGGGCATAAATCTACAAGTCCAAGAATCTCAAAAACTCCAACACCAAGAGACCCACATAAAGACAAACTGGTCAAACCACTGAAAGAAAAAGACAAAGAGAATATTGAAAGTAGCAAGGGAGAAGCAACTTGTCATATACAATGGACCTTCAAAAAGATTAATAGCTGATTTCTCATCAACAGAAACCATAAGGCCAGAAGACATTT